TTTTTTTTATAAGAAAAGCTTCTCATTAAATTACCAGCTGCTCCCATCATAGAAAGGGCTAATTTAAATGATTCTCCTGCAACGCTGCCTCCTGAAATAAACATCCTCCTATTCATCCTGCATTAAGTAATCACGAAGATGTGATTAGCAATACATCGTGTTGTAACTTTCTGAATAACTTAAAGAAATTAAAATCCACTGGTTTTATCGAGTTGATGAAGCTTTGGCTTCTGGGACTCTCTGCTCCAGGAAAACTTTAAATTCCATCTATTATTCTTATAGTCATCCCATTAACATGTCTGCATTGTATACTCTGGAGGAGACTGTCAGCAGCCACCCACACACCAAGTGCTACCTACCAGAATCAGACTTCCCAGGGTGAAGTTAAGAGTAACCACATAATTGAGGTTGGGGGGACCCACTACTTCCAAATTAAAATTAGCTTAATTTTAATGCAATTAGATGGTCCTGTGGCCTGATGACTCCCCCTAGGAACAGTGACTATGTGGTTCTTCAGACCTACTACATCACCAGCCACTGAGAAAAACGCCACAGCGGTACATCACACTCAGCCTGCTCAGAGGATGACCGAGGGTGGGATTGTTAAAAAACAGTCTAGAAAGTTTCCTGCAGACAAAAACAGTTTAGTGGTGTAACTAAAACTTTAATTATGCTTATTTTGTGAGACTAACTTGACCTGGATCATTTCTTATTTCTACCTCTGGAAGTCATTGGTGAAACTTTTGAAAAAATTTAAGTTGAGGTAATACTGACTTACATTATTTTTGGTGTTTTGGAAAGGATCCTCCCACCTCAGGTGTCACTACCATTGTGCGTCTATATAGACAAAATTTAAACTACTACCCTTGGATGATACGAGGTAATCACTGACTAATTCCCTGCCTGTCAATACAGCCAGCCCTAAACCCTCAGATTGCTATGAGTTTGTTTGTCCTAATTGCAATTCTTCTGCTCTTCTCAAACTCATTTTTTTGAGCTTACCTCAGTTCACCACCTTATATAAATAGGTCGACAACACTATCATGTGGATGCATCTTGAAGACATTATACTGAGTGAAAAAGGCAGAAAATAAAAGGCCATGTTTTATATGATTTCTTTTACATGAGATCTATAATTAAGAATGAGGGTCCTCCCTGGTGGTGCAACCGGTTAAATTATCACATTATGAAGCTCTCCAAAGCCCTTACAGCCTGAGTTCCATCCCCAGCCAGGGAGCAGACCCATCCGCTGCTCCCCTTAGCGGTGTACTTTGTCAATCTGCCTGTTCTGCTCCCCACCGTGTCTCTGGTGAATTCTCTCATCCCCACACAGCTCTGACCTGTACTTCAGTTTTGTAGGCATAAATAAGTCTTTTTAAAAAAACTATGAATATGGAGGAACCTCCCTAGTGGCACAATGGGTTAAAGTGCAGCACT